TTTTAAAATCTCTTTCACAATGCAACTCTATTCACACTAGATATGTTTTTGCGTTCTATTTCCTGTGATAGATATATATTAATTAATTAAAATATGTGTCACATGTTTGATTAACACCAACATTCTAATACAATGGTTAATGTACCGTAACGTGCGAGTAATTAATTATGAATACAAAACTGTCACAACAGATTTGTTTTTTGTTAACCTATACAACTAATTTTCAAACTATTTCATTTACTTGTAAATGAATTTCTTTCTCTGTTAATAAGAGAGGGTGGAAAGGGAGTAAACTAAATGCAATTCATTAACAAACCAGGAGATTATTATTGTTTAGGGTATTCAAGAAGGAATAAGTATTGCTATATTCAAAATTTCTTTAACTGAATATTTCCTTGTTATTTTTTTCTTGTCACTACGACCGAAACAAGCCCATGCCTTGTCAAGAATATACACCTTCCCGAATTAAAAAAATTAATCAATCAGCTATCAATTAAAAAAAGGAAAAAAATTAGGGAGAAATATGAAACAGAAGAAATAAAAACAAGATTCAAAGTGTTGATTGCATTATCTTTTAAAAATAATTATTCGCCAGAAAGTTAAACAAAACAAATAGAAAAAAACAAAGATTCAAGAACCAAGTTTAACGTAGTTTCTGATCAAACTCCTTTTGTTTTTATTTTTTTTTTCTTCTTCCTTTTTTCCTCCTCCAACCCTATTTGATGCTTCCCGAATTTCAAAACAGATCTGATGCTTTTATTAATTCCGTAAAAAAACGCGGAAATATATTCATAAAATTCATACATATATTTGTGATACACGTCATTTTTTACACGTCATAAAATTCATCTGGTCGCACATGCATGCCACCAGATGCAGCGTCTGTACTTACATAGATTATTGTAACTATAATTTTATTTAATTTTTATATTCGACAAAAACAACAAGAATGGGCCGTGCATATCTACCTTATAAATAATTCTTCGAGTCATTTTAATTTGTTCTAAATTTTATGTAACATATTATTCCAATCGAAAATAAATCTTAAACAAATTTTATCATAATGGAGATAACACAAGAAATGTAAAATTATATTTTTAAGATTTTATTTTTAATTGAAAGAATATATTAAATAAAATTTAAAAGAATATATTAAATAAAATTTAAGACAAAACAAAATGTCTTTTAATAAAGACAGGAGGGAGTCCAAGTTTAGAATAATGTATAGGTACGACTAAAGAGATTCATGCAAAAAAAAAAAAAATGACATCAATGTACACAGATACAATCAGTGCTTAATTTTGCTAATTTTTTAAGTTCTACTTCAGTTTCAATTTCAAGTAATTAAGTGAAGAGATGTATTCCATGCTCCATGTTTAGCTGTTAATCGAAACAACATAATTTTATTGCGATTGTGGTTTATCTTTTTTCATTAGGTGATGGTAATTATATTTATTAAACATATTATAATACCTTTTCACAAATGGGAAATGAGAGAAATGAAAATAGCGAGATGAAACAATTTTTGAGATTATTGGGTTTAGTTGAATGGTAACAATGGCCAGAGATTGTAAACATTACTTCCGATTCAAACTTCGCTGGACGACTTGATCTCAATTCCAACATCTGAACATATGATTCGATCTTCTTCTCTGCTGATCATTTTCACACATGAATTTTCCGGTTGCGCCATTTCGAAATAAAAACCAGCCCCATGTTAGATGGTTCGAGTGTTCTCGTACAGACTGATTGTTACACCTTTTTCGTCTCATCTTAACAGTTTATTTTTCGTAAAATTAGTTGAATTTGCCAAATTTTCAAAATGAAAAGACGATAGGAGTGATATTTATTGTCTAGTCTCCACATATATCAAGCTAATCTCAAATTCTAAAATTCCCTTTTCAGTCAATTTGGACTATTTAGACAATAAATTGACAGGTTTTGTGTGTACCCAACCTTTTAGTTTTTGCCTTTGCTCTTTGTATTGTCTTATTCAATTATCACTTCACGTCATTTGTTGTTTTGCAAAGGGAAGGAGAAAAAAAAGGAGTTTCACCTTTCATGTATCAAGAAGAACTCGTAAATGAATTAATTGCTATTTCTAGGTACATTTTGTTAGTACTTTGTTGACTAGTGTTTGTATCCATTTGTCCAAGGGATCACCACCGTCCAGATTCCAAAAACTGCATTACGCGATTCAGTGCGCATATTAATTTATCTTGTTTCAGGGTTTGAAGGAGTGCAATAAAAGGTTTACTCATACAGATTTGTTTTCCTCCTATGAAAAACGAAAGGGAAAATGGGTCTTTTCATTCCAAAGTTTAGGCCACACCATCCAATATATCTCAAATTTTAAGAACATGTCATTTATATCCTAAACTTTTTAAAAAACATGTTACATTAGGATATTCGTTAAATTTTTAACTCCAGTTAATTAATTAATGGTGGTACTTTATTCTGTTTCTCCTCCTCCAATTCTTTTAATCATTTAACACGTTCCACTAACTCCCACCTTATAAGAAAATAGCTAAACCTAATTTGCTCTTCACATCATGCATTCTTCCTTGCTTAGAAAAAGAAAAAAAATATCCAAGATTCACCTTCTAGATTGATAACAATCATGAAAGTTTTTGTGTGTGTCCTAATTAGAGAGTAAGCCCTATTTCATTTATTCTTTTAAATATGTAGCATCATTATAAAAATTACTGTTGTAATTGATGCAGGGGTATGTAACTTTTTTGCTTGGCATGGACCAAATTTACCAAACGCAAGCATAAAAATTTTTTGACTAAAAAAAATGAGGAAAAGAAATTGAATGAAATATTGCCGTTAATAACTTCAAAAAATTAACAAATGTCCTAATATTACATATTTTTTAAAAGTTTAGGATGAAAATGGCATACTTTTAAACTTTGGGATATTTTAGATGGTGTGGCTCAAACTTTGGGATGAAAAGGCCCATTCTCCCAAAAAGGAAATTTACCTGAAAGTTTAAAGGGAAATGCCATTGTGTATATTTCGAGCTCTTTCAGTACTTGATTAATGATGATACCCGATCCGAACCTAATTTTTCAAAGCTAGCTATTACTTAACGATTCTTTGGTAACTTCAGCTAGTTGTAATATTCCAACTGTAATGTAAAATTTGAGGGATTTTTTGAAGAAATTTTTTTTTGTTGAATTCTTTCTACAAAGAAGTGAACCAAAATGTGGACAAGAACAATTTAATTCAACGGATGCAAATGATTTATTCTTTGACAGGAAGTCAAGTGGTTAGGTCTAAACGTCAATTAAAATCACTCTACATGTACAGCTACAGGAAGAAAAGATGAGATTAGAGATAATGCTTCCCCCATTTAGTATTCTTCTGTTTTAAAATAAGTGTTACCTTAAAACAGGGGATTAACCCCAAAAATTCCTTCAATAGATTACTCGCGTGATCTATTGAGATGGTAAAGTACTTTTGATTATAGTGTTCCCCCAATAAATATTGAATCTACTGCTTGAGCGTAGGGTATGTTGTCTGCTATATTCGTGATGTCACTGGTGATGCTTGCGGGCTCGTTGTTCACTGTTCAACAAGAATCAGTCGTTATGTTCGTGATGCGGTTAGTGATACTTGTGGACTCATTATTTACTCTTCAACAAGAATCGTAGTTATAAATCTATTTATTAGATTTTTAATTTGGAGTTTTTATATGATAATTAATGATATATCCTTAACCGGATCTGAATCTCAGTACGTGATGTGTCCAGTCTTATCTTAGATAGATCTGTGTAGGTTTATTAATGGTAAACACAACAATATAATGATAATAATCTGTTGTAAGTTGTGTTTCACAGTGTTTCTTTGTATTGTTAAACGCAGTTGGATGATTTCTAACATAAAAATTTTCTTCTAAAAAAAAAATAATAATCATCCCCCACTATAATTTAAGGTTTTGCTTATTTTATTTTTTTAAATAATAAAGAAAAGCAACTGATTTCTACTATCTACGGTACCTTGCTCCTGAATACGAATGATCAAATTATAAAAAAAGTAGTCTATATTTAAGTTAATAGAACCTGACCTTTGAGGTTGAAAGGCAAAAATCACTGCACAAATGTAATAAAAAAAATAAAAATAAAAATTTCGTGAAAGTGACAGAAACTAAATAGACGATTTGATGTTTACTTTTTCTTTTGACTAAAGCACCATAGCTTAGAACAGCAGTGGACATAATTCTTGATCTTTTACACATCAACGTTGGAATAAGGAAACAACTGGAAACTATTAGGTGCGAGTCTCTACTGTATCCAGATAAAAATTTCACCTTTGTGATTCATTATTGCTCAATCATCGATCCTTACATCTGCCACTTTGCACTGTCATTCAATTCAACAAACGATAATATTATTTTTCTTTTAATGATTTCATGGGCAATTTTTTCTTTTAATATTCAAGTAGAATTAGCTTTAATAAATTCAATAAAGTGTGACTGTGACGAAGATAAATTTAATTATTAGTACTTACTTATTTAGTTTATTTGATTTGAAATTTTAATTTCATTATGAAAATAAAATTTCAAATCAAATAATTATTTTTGAAACAAAGGAAATAGCAGACATTTCATCCATTCACCAAATGGTCAGGTTTTTTGGAACATGGGTGTGTAATAGTTTAAATTATTTGTACGGAGAGCTTTAAAAGAGAGACTATTCGTTTTGAATACGGATATCTCGACAGGAGTTTCATGACAATAGGTGTAACATTAAAAAAAATTAAATAATTAAATAATGAATAAAATAAAATGATAAACGACAATCTAGATAAGTGAGCTCGCTGTTGCCATTTATATATATACATGTGATTATCAGCTACTCTTCGTTCCATGTAGCTAAAGTTCAATTATCACACTGAAGAATCAATTCCTTTTTGCCTACCAGTGTGATAAATTACATCTTCTTTCATCATATTGCTAACAACATTAACAAACCAACTTGCCATTTTTCTAGTTCTTGATGGAAATAACTTCTGCCAATCAAGAAAAAATGGGATTTTTCTGTCGTGTAAGTTGTTGGTTCAAGGCACTGTGGGAGAAAATAGTGTCAAAGATAGTTGAAGTTGGAAGAGATACCAAAAGCTTAGGAAAAGAAGATCCGAGAAGGATTATTCACTCTGTTAAAGTAGGATTAGCCATAGCTTTAGTTTCATTAGGCTACTACTTTGATCCCATCTATGAAGGTTTTGGTGTCTCTGCTATGTGGGCTGTCATCACTGTTGTTGTTGTCTTTGATTTTTCAGTTGGTAAGTTTTGAGCAGAATGAAAAAGGGCTTGTTTGATTTTGAATTTTTGTGACATATAAGATTGATGGAATCTGAAATGTGGGTTATATTTATTTTGTAGGAGGAACAATTGGAAGAGCGATGAACAGAGGAATTGCAACACTAATTGGTGGTTTTCTTGGAGTTGGGGTTCATCGATTGGCCACCTGTTTTGACATTAAAGCATTAATACCTATCATAATTGCTTTGTCTATTTTCATAATTGGTAAGTAAACAAGAAAAAAAAATGGCTACTTTTTCCAATCTTTTCCTATGTTAATGTATGTGGAACTTATTTGCTCTGTTTTGTGTTGATATTTGCTGATTTGCAGCCGCAATCGGGACATTTGCGAGATTTTTTCCCAAATCAAAGGCGAGATACGATTATGGACTTCTGATATTCATCTTGACGTTTTGCCTGATTTGTGTTTCGGGCTATCGAGACGATGAAGTGTTAGACATTGCCCTCACAAGGCTCTCCACCATTTTTGTTGGAGGAGGTGCAACTGTGCTTGTTTGTGTTCTGGTGTTTCCAGTCTGGGCTGGTCAAGATCTGCATAATCTGGTTGCTGATAACATTGAAAGGATTGGAAGTTTTCTTGAAGGTTTGTTTGTTACCTTTTATTTGTAAACTGATCTTATTTTATCCTCAAAACTTTTGTTATTGTTACAATCATATGGACAATCAGGTAACTTCTGTTGTATGCTGAAATGATCTTCCATATATGCAGGATTTGGAGAGGAATACTTCAAAGTGATGGAAGATGAAAACGCAAAAGACAAGAAGGCGCTACTAAACGAACATAAACCTGTGCTTACTTCGAAAAACATTGAAGATGCTTTGGTGAGTACTCTAAAGCTGTGCTCCGATGCGTTCCAGAAAAGTAGTCCACTTTTGTTTTGCTAAAACTGTTTCTTTTTTTCTTGCAGATAAATTCTGCAAAATGGGAGCCACGTCATGGAAAGTTCAGGTTCCGCCATCCTTGGGGACAATATCAGAAGATTGGAAGCCAAACGCGCGAATTAGGCTATCGTCTTGATGCCCTCAAAGGCTATCTCAATGCGGAGATGCAATCAAATCCAGAAATCCGTGCAAATTTTGAAGAATCGTGCAAGAAGATGAGCTACGAGTCCAGCCATGCGCTGAAGAAATTGGCAGCAGGAATTAGGACAATGACTTTGAAATCCTCCACAAAAGCGCATATTGCAGATGCGAAAGCAGCTGCAAATGAACTCAAATCATTGCTGAAAACGAACCCCTGGCAACACCATGATTTACTAGAAGTGATTCCGGTTGCTTCTGTAGCTTCATTGCTCGTCGAAACAGTGTGCTGCACTATAAAAATCGCAGAAGCGGTCCATGAACTCGCTTCATTAGCGAAATTCAAGGCTGAAGATGATGCTACCAAGCCGGATGAGCAGGAAGTCACCAAAAGTTTTATGAGAACTCCTAGCATTGAAGCATCCCATGGCCTTCAAGTCATGGTAGAATAATAACTCTGTAACTCAATGAAGCCGTGGAATTCAATATATGGTAACCAATTGCGGTTACAATTTTGTCGTAACTATGTTTTTTTTCTCCCCAGAGGTTAAGCTGTGTTTGTCTGATTAATGGCAAATGGGATTGGTGAAAAACTCATGGTTTTATTATCCTATTACACAAAATGCTTTGCTCTAAACTTGAAACTTAATCCCAGATGTGTAGAAAATCTTGTTTCTTATGAGTATGAAAAGATAAGCTAGCACTTGTTTCGCTATAACCAAAAGTTGAAATACCATTTTATCTCCTAACAAATCTATGACACTAGTTTGAATGTGTTATGTGCTAAATAGTATATCGTAATTGATTAAAAAAAAGATTAAACATTACTTCGGAAACTGATCCCACCCCATAGAACACCAATTAGGCTGGGCCCAAACGGGATTCTTGTAATGCTCCGGCAAGATTAAAGACCAACAAGAGGAAATCGAAGAAATTACAACTGTAAATTGGGGATCTAGGGTTCAGAACCACCCTGATGGGGAAAACCACAATTTCTAATTCAATTCATCATTTTTCGATAATGATACTTTCACCTTGCAAAGACTATATATAGTCTTAGAGTTTCCGGGATTACAAAGTGGCCCCTAGTCTATTAAATTAATTCAAATGAATCCACGATTCATGACAAACTTCCCTCCTCCCTCCTCCTAAAAACAGTGTTGTCTCCAACTCTATTTTTACAGTGGTACAACTAAAATTGAACCATTAGGAAATGGCACCAACGCCGTACTACTAAACATATACTGCTCCTAACAACTTGCAAGGAAACCAAAAATAAACCGCATAAATGCTACAAAGAAAGCTAAACAATATTTAAGATTACTCTATAATTTAAATAAGTTCAGAATTGAGTTCACTAATGAACCCAAACCAACTGTGAAGCACCAATTCAGCAGTCTTGAAAACAACAACCAACGACCATCACCACCTGCTAGAAGCGCTCCAAGTTCTGCAACCATTCTATAGACACAGCCTCTACATAGCCAGGCAATCATCCAAATGAAGTTTGACTCTTCCAGTGATGTTGTTTGCTTCCAAAGATCTTCAAAAGTGAAGATACCACCATTGAAACAGGAAGACATTTGAATCCAACCCACCGTTTTCAACAGAACTGTTCCCCCTTTGAATCCTGCAACAACTTCTCCCCAAGGTCTAAATACCCTATTAGTTTTAGCACTGTGATCAATCCCAAATCTTTTAGTTGCATACAAACCTTTCGGCAACAGGGAGAACACATCAACAGAATTCATAAAGCCAGTACCCAGCTTATTAGTATGACCCTTGGTTATCCCCAAGAGCTCATAATCAGAAAAATCTTCACAAACAGAAGCATGTCCCAATCTGATTGCTTGCCAGTACAGATTTATCAGTTATACCAAAAGTGGCGTTCCTCCAGTGAAACATGATCACTTTATCCCAAGGTTTGGCTATTTTTACCAATTCAAATTCACACAAGTTCAACTGAACTTCAGTATCAACATTTTCATTCAGACCAATCTGGATACCAACTCTCTCAGCAGTACAATAATCCCAATCAAACAATCAAAAACACACGAAGCAGCAATACCGTCACTATATGCATGCATGGGTTTTGATTAATTGAGAGTGGGCCAAGGCTGGAGATTGGATGAAAGGGACTTTAGTTTTTTTAAAAGATGGACTTCAAAGGTGGGCTGTATCATGCTACGGGAATTCAACTACAGAAGCCTATATTTTCTTAATTAATTCGGCCAGAAGCTTCCCGAAATTGCTGCCGTTCTTTGCCAAGACAAAACCGAAAAGAGGAAGTGTAATTTGCATGGGCTTTAATTAAGGCTGGCATTTTGACCCACGGTTCGGGTCGAACTAATGATCCGAACCAAACCGATCCGAATTATTGGATCGGTTTGGTTCGGATCATTGGTTCGACCCCAACCGTGGGTCAAAATGTTTCGGTTCGGTTCGGTTCAAATCAATTAATTGAAAGACTAGAATAGTTCGGATCGGTTCGGGTTAAATAAATATTCAAATTGAACCGAATTAATTTAAACAAAAAATAATAATAATAAATTTCAATAGTTTCTAATGTTGACCGCCATCGACCGCCGCCGACAACAACTTCCGGCTAAAAATTTCGGCAACGTCGGCAGCAAATTGATTTTCCGGCCAAAAATTCCGATGATAAGCTGGAAAATTGATTTTTTCCGGCGACCGGTGACCGACCCGACAAGATGACGTTATCGTAATATTTTGATGATATCATCGGATACAAAATGGTTCTTTTCGGGTCAATTCGGTTTAGACCCAAAATTTAACATGAACCGATCCGAACCGAACCATAATGATCCAAAAAAAAATTACCCCAATTCCGAATCGATCCAAACTAACGGTTCAGTTCAGGTTTGGTTCAGTTCGGGCCGGTTTTATGTAAAGGAACAGCCCTAGCTTTAATTGATTGAGGTGTAGGAGTTTAATTACTGGAGTCCATGTTGGATCCAATTTTTTTTCTTGAAAAGAAAACCATCGAGAAGTAAATAGTACTATAAAAGGGGTGCATGTTCTATTAGTTTGGGGCAAAACCGGATGCACATTATTTTCCTATCATCAGAAGAAGTTGCACGCATGCACGCACACTCAAGAGAACCTAAGCAACATCGAATGACGGTTGTGTTCTTCTCTCCGGGTTCTTTGTTCCATTGTTTTAATTTTATTTTTATTTTAAACTTATGTGTAGTAGCTAAACTTATCTAATCTAGAGTTTTGGATGTAGCCGCTGTACTATTTAATTTAATTTGATTGATGATTGTGACTTTTTCATTAGTTGATATTTAATATTCTTACTTTTATTCCATGTTAGTATTTGATCACTACTTGCATGCTTAAAAGATGTTTAACTGAAGGAACGACAGTTAAATGTTAACATTAGTTCATGGGAATATTAAACTTAGGTAGTGAGCCACGACAGTAAGAATACCGCTTTTGCAACTAGAGATTCTAAAGTTCTTAATGTGCTTTTGTTATCCCTATAGTCACGAAAGTAGTCATAGGGTTAGTTCAAGTAAGAGAATTATATCACGACAGTGAATATTTCTTATTCTTGTGAATCGTTGTGAGATTAGTGAAAGTCCAAAGTCGCATATCTATAGATTGAATTAAGCTGAATAGTAGGTAGGTGAATCCTTTGCCATAGGTTTTCTTTTACTTGTTTATATTTTAAATTTATTGCAATTGTTAGTTTTAGGTTTAGGTTAGTTTAAAATTGATAAATTGTTAATCTAAATAACAATAAGAAATAGTTTTAACCGATACTTGGTAACTTTCCTTGTGGGATCGATCCTGCTTGCTACTTTACTGCTAATAATTATATTAAGTAATTAATTTTATATTTGACTAGTGTGACGACGGCTTGTCATGTACAAAACAAACTTCTGCAGCAACTATAAAAAGCTAATCTAATCCTCTTCATCAACATCCATCTCCTGTCATGTTCATCAATCTCTAAGCTATCCTAATTCAAACAAATTTTTTCCTTTAATTTTTTTTATTTATCACTTCAATTAGACTGATGATTAGCTCCTATCTTTGGGGCATGTTTGATAAAAATTAGTGCTTAATTCTGAATACTTAATACTGAATAGAAATGCTGAATTGATTAAAATGCTTAACTCTGAATGCTTAACTTTTAAATTTTAATGTCTGAAACAAAATGCTTATGAACAACTCTTGTTTGATAAAAATACCGATATGAATATTGAATTGTGTGAATTTTACCAACTTACCCTTTTATATTTTTTAACATTTATTTTATTATAAAATATTTTTCCCTAACTATGGAATAATTATGTTCATTATTCAAAAAATACATACTATAAAATTATATGTATTGTGAAATTGCAAACTAAAATGCGCATGTCATTTTTCTTAATATAATGGATGAGCCAAATTATAAAGTATTAAATCTTTATATCTTTGAAAATAAATTAAAAAGAAAAAATCAAACACATATGTATGAAATAAATTAAGATTTTTACAGGTGAAAACAACAAGACTTTATTTAATCAAAATGAAATATTAAAATATTTAAAGAATATTTAATTAGTGTATTGAATAATAAAATATTCATGTTGGAATTCAATAATAAAGAGTTTAAAAAAGATAGATGAGAGTAATTAGCAATAAACGTTAAGCTAGATTTTACTTCTTAAAACTTGTACTGTAGTTTCAACAGTGCTTAATCATATAAGTGGACCAGTTTTTGGTTATCAAACCTACTTATTCTAAAAAATTTTCAAACCAATAATTTAAGTAATAATTTGAGTTATCAAACAGGCCCTTAAAACTCACTATTATTAGTCTACTACTACTATTTCGTACTTGCCAATTTCAAACTAAACTGATTCGAATGGATCTCTTATTCGGCATCAGCTGTCTTAAAAAATGACTAATTCCACAAAAATACTCCACATTGTAATTGTGAATTATATTGAAATATAGAATATTTTTCTAGGACAGAGAGATTACAAGATTCAGAACTTTGCTAACTTAATGAAGCTATCTGAATTGAAGCAACTTCGCGAAGAATTACAGAAGTAAAGATGTTGCAGCAGTAATACATAGTTCTGATGATTGTATATAGCATAATGATTGTATAGATACATTGTGTATAGATACAGTAGTGTTAGATGACTTAGTTGATGGACTTCTATTTTAGTCTTTATTAAATCACAGTAGTGTTAGACGACTTAGTTGATGGTCTTCTATTTTAGTCTTTATTAAATCATAGCCTGTAAATAGTAGTTTAGGGGTATATTTGTAAATGTTGTATACAGTTTATTTAGTTGTACATTCTAGTATAGATACCAAACTGTAAGTTAGTTGTAAGAAAGTTGATTTATAAAAATTGAGATCGGGAAGTTTTTCCCCTTTCTGTTCACCTGAAACCCTAAATACCTTGCTTCCGCATTCATGGTGA